AATATTAGAATTATTATATATATATATAAATTTATTATTGTATATATTATTATTGTAAATAATAATATTGATATTTTAAATGTACAATTATAAATGATTATAATTTAAATTATATTTATAAAATAAATGAATATATAATGAACAAAAATGAATAAAGTTTTACAAGTATAATATATAAAATAATAATAAAATAAAAAAAAAATTGTAAAAATTATAAAATAGAAATCTATAATTTACAACTTGTAACTTTTAATTTAAATCAGTAAATAAATCTTAAAATAATATTATTAGTTGATAATTATATTAAGTATCTTTTTTGTGTTTCTTTTTAATAATATTAAAAAATTTTTCAAGTAAAAATTGAAGTTATGTGAATAATTAACGTTAATAATTTTTTTTGTAAGTAGAATATGTATAGAGATTAATTTTATTCTTTTTAATGAAATTATACATTTTTTAACGCATTTATTCAATTTTTTGGACTGAATTTTTCGTCACAAATAATCTTGAATGCTTGCGAATATTATAATTACCATCACTTGGCTACTATCTAAGTTTTTTAGGACATTATCATCTGTATAATATCAATCTTCAAGTACTTCAATATTTTAATATTATTTTAATATTTTCAATTTAGTGATGAAATTTTATTTATTTAAGTTTTTTAGGACATTATCATCTGTATAACATCAATCTTCAAGTACTTCAATATTTTAATATTATTTTAATATTTTCAATTTAGTGATGAAATTTTATTTATTTAAGTTTTTTAGGACATTATCATCTGTATAACATCAATCTTCAAGTACTTCAATATTTTAATATTATTTTAATATTTTCAATTTAGTGATGAAATTTTATTTATTTAAGTTTTTTAGGACATTATCATCTGTATAACATCAATCTTCAAGTACTTCAATATTTTAATATTATTTTAATATTTTCAATTTAGTGATGAAATTTTATTTATTTAAAAAAATGAATAAATTAATAATTAATTAATAATTTGTCAATAATATTATCCTTCCACAATATTTATTTTCAATTATATTTTTTTAATTATAGTCTAAGAACTTCATTATATTAGAAGAAAATTGAACTTATAAAAACGAATATCGAATTTCAAAAAACATATAACATTCATTTCAATTATTAATTGTTATAATAGTTTTAATAAACTAAATTTTTGCACTGTAACGAAATGAATTTTTATTAAATGATTTTTAATTAAATGAGAGTATGTATGTAAAAAGCAAAACGCCCTAATCCTTCATGCAAAAAAACATAAATGAACTTTATGACTGCATGAAATTCTTCGCAAATTATGCTCAGTTTGCTATGTTAAGCGATATAGCATTATTTGTTGTAAAATAAAAGTATTAATCTATTTTCAAAAAAAATAAAAGATCAATCAATTTTTTAAAACTTATAAATATATAAAAAATAAAAAATATATAAAATAGTATTTATTTATTTATTTAGATTTTTTTAGCTTTCTATACAATACGTTTTACAATAATATTTAAGTCACAGTAAAACTTTATTATTAGAAACAAAACATAACAGTTTGGATAATCGATTTAAGATCAACTATTCTTGATATCTAACATTTAATTTAACGTATATCTTGATAATCGATTGTATAATCAAATAACTATGTTTTTTTTATTAAAGAAAATCATTTGTTATGAAATATAACTTTTGAACAGTTTGAATAATTAAAATTTAATAATTTCAATACAATTTATAATTTCTCGTTTTTTTTAGTTCTTATATTATAGATAGTTGACTTGCCAATTCTATATTTATTATTATAGAAATAACATAGTTACAGTTATTTCTATATTATAATATACTTATAATTCTAAATTGTTTGCATAGTGATAAAACATTATGCTTTCATTTTGATATATGTAAGCAGTACAAATGTCACTAATAAAGAATGTCGACAAGACATCTTATAAATGATGAATNAGAGAGAGAGAGAGAGAGAGAGAGAGAGAGAGAGAGAGAGAGAGAGAAGAAAAAACAGCTAAAATGAAAATACTATAATTTTTAAGACAAGATTCTCTTTAATTTTGATAATTAAACATATATGTAGATATATTAAAATAGATATTCTAACAATTGAATACTCAATCGAAATTTTAATAATCAAATTTTTCATTAATAGATATTCCAATCGATTGTCTTATTAATAATTCAATAAAGCATTTCAATAAAGGATTTACTGTAAAATATTTTTTAAATTAATAATTTTTATTAAAAACATATTTTTTCATAAAAAATCATATGTAGTATTGATTAATATATTAAAAAAATATATTGGTTTTCAATTTTATTTTATTTTTATTTTAATTTTATCTTATAGAAATTCATTTAATCAAAATTTGATTTCAATAAAAAATATTGATTTTATGAAAATTTATATGTATATCATAATAGATTACATTTTTTTGTCTTTGAAAAATGATTAATTTAATGATGAATTAATGAAATCTTTAAAATTTATAGTATTTTTTCAACTTTTGATACATCAAAATACATCTCAATAAAAATACTCTACATTTCAAGAAAAAAATTATAGACAAAAATTTTACATTATTTAATGAACTATTATTGTAAATACTCGATTTTTTACTTTGATTTAATTTTGCAATATGTAAATACATTTTTTAAATGGAATTTTTGGAATTATATTTTTGTGCATTAATTAATTCTTCTTATTGATTTTCTCTTATTTATTATTTTAAAGAAAATATTAAAATTATATAAAGCAAAATATAAAAGTATAAAATTATAAGTATTAAAATAAAAAACTTAAAATTTTCGATATTTATATGCAACATTTTATAAATATATATTTTTACATTTTTTATTATATTATTCATTTAATCATTATTCATAAATTTGTACTATTTAAATAAAATATGCAACTTACAATTTCACTTATATCTATATAAAAAATCATACGACATAACGATAGAACTTATTGAACAATGTAAAATTTTCCTCTACAATTTTTTTCTATTTTTTCATCCTATCTTTTCATCCTAACATCTTTTACACTAAATTTACACAATATTTAAAAAAATTCCTAAATATCATATATTTTTCATATCATCATTATATCAATTAAATATATTATATATAATTTAAACATTTTCGCACGTACTAAAACGTATTGATACTGCTAATGCAATCACGACTCATTAAACAATTAGATGACGAAGGCAATGAGAGTGTTAGTTGGGCGCGGTTTCGAGAAACCAGTTTAAGTGAAAATTAATGGGAATCGTTCCGCATCGAGAAATTGCACGGCAGTCGTTGCGTGGGCGTACCTATTATCTTCAAACTGAACTTCCGATTTCTACGTTTTAATAGCATAAACGGCCACGAAAAATTTGTCGAAAATTCGTTGAAACGGACATTATCTGTTCATCTCTTTCTGTATTATATATTTTTCATTCAACAACATGAATATACCTGTACACTCACGTTCGCAAAACATATTTCTGTCTCGTTTGATTTATATAATAATAAAGTACGAGACATAAATCGAGCAAGGCAGAATATTTTCTCGCATCGTTGGAATCATGACTCTCTGAATTTGGTAGAAAAGAGAATATATATGACAGGGAAAATAATTTCGTAAAAAATAATAATTAATAGACTGCAAATTTTTGTATAGATATATATTTTTCATTTTATGGATTTTTTCTATATATTTTATATAAACAAAAAATATGATATATATATATTTTTTCTGTGTGTTATTTTTATTTATGTACGATAGTTAAGTGTGTATTAATTGTTGTAATGATTACAATATAATATTGAAAATTGTGAAAATTCTGAATGACACGTCTATAAATTGTCAAAAAATATCCTATTATGATACTGAAACAAATCAATATATAAATAAATATATGTTATAAATTTTAATATGTGTATAAGACGATTTTTTAGTTTTATAAATTAATTTTTTAGATAAATAATAAACAATATCAATTATTGTGTCATTCAAATGGAATCTCATAAGAGATTGAAGTAATAAAAAAAATATTTTTATAAAAATTATTTAAAATATAAAGAAATATATTATATAATATGAATAAATTTTTTGAAAATCAAAAAGATCATGATAAATATCAACTTTAATTTTTTAAATGGAATCATGGAATTTTAATGAATTAATCAATATAACAATTATTTTTTGCAAGCAATTCATATCGAAAAATTTCAGTTTTAGGAAATATTGTTTATCTTTGCAAAAAAACTTTTAATATTAGTACTTAAAAAAAATTTCTAAAAAATAATAGCTATATTTTTTTCGTTAAGTATATAATCCCTTAATGTATCTCTATTTTTTATTAGAATGTTTCACTGAATGAATAATAAATGGAAAATTGAGAATTATAGTGGTGTAAATTCAATCGATAGGATCGAAATTATGCTGTAATTTATATTATTTTAAGTTTTTTTATTTTTAGTTGGTATAAGTTATTTCAATATTCTAGTTACAAATTAAATCAATCTAATATTTTTTTTTTAAATATTATTTTCATTTATAATATAATTCAATTTAATAAATATGAATTTCTCAAAATAATTTCAAAATAATTAAAATAATATGATACATATTGTTTATATCTAGATGTAACACTTAAGCAAATACTATTTTTATAAATATATTAAAATTAATAACCAATTTAATTCACTTTTTTTTTTAAAGAATTTCATATCAGTAAGATTGATTTAGATCAGATTTCTTTTAAATAAATATTTTTATTTCTTGTAGTGATACAGGATTTTATAAATAAATTTTTCTTTGAAATAATCTATTTCAAATATAATATATTTTAAAAGATATCAATTCATATTCATACTAAACCAAATAAATATTAAAATAAAATAAAATTTCAAATAATAATATTTCAAAGAAACAGTTTCTAACTTTAGTAACATTTTTATGATTTAATGTATCAAAGTTATACTATTATATGTAATAAAATATATAATAAAGTTGATTTATATATATACATAAACTAAATATAAAATTTTTAATTTTTGTAATGTTTAAATTTAAAATTTTAAAATTTTATTTTCGATAAATAATAAATAATA